GACGTGCACAGCCTAGGTCTAGATTCGGCTATATCGTCGTTGCATCAGGGAATGCATCAAGATGGAAAAATGATAATTCTGTGCGTGCAGTTGTCTCTTCTATCCACCTACACTCTAGCGCTCTAGAACAACAAGGAACATTCCGGTCTGTGTACTGTATTTGCCCATACCAGTTTTCGGGAAGTTTCGGCTCGACAGTCGTTTCGGCTTATTTATTATTGGGTTTTTTTCTTATTTATCTGGCTTTTGCTTTATTTTCCTTAATTTTGAAAAGTTCAAAGATACAAGTGCAAATAAAATTCAGAAAATATTCTGAAATGTTATGGTGTTGTCTCACTTTCTATGATTGTGTAAACTTGAAATGATAATTGATGGCCTGTAATATTAAATGTAAGGATAGGCCTATCTAGGGCCTATATTCTAATAATAGGCCTATAATTGACAGTTCCCAATATTGGTCTATCCTATTGTTTAAATAGGTGTTCGCTATTCGTAGACTACACCCACTGCTTAACAATGGGCTTAAAGTGTCAAAAGAGCTTTCTTTGTTTTTATAGATAGCTTTGATCAGTGTATGAATGGTTTTATCTTTAGTTTATTCAGATATGTCACCTACTAGAGGTAAAATTGGAGATTGTCTACAGTTTCTAAAATTAAGACTATTTTTTTCCCTTTTTTTTTTTTTTTGCTATTTTTATTTTGCGCAAATTTGCGTTTTTTGTTCGGGATCCCGATAAAAATCCCACTGGGATCCCGATCAAAAATCCCGGTCGGGATCCCAATAGAATCCGGTAGGATCCCGATAGAATCCCGGTCTGGATTCTATCGGGATTTTTGATCGGGATCCCAGTGGGATTTTTGGACGGGATTCCCGATTTACCGGGATCCCGATAGGGATTGCCACCGGGATTCTATCGGGATTTTTGAACGGGATCCCGGCGGGATTTTTGGTCGGGATTCCCGGTTTATCGGGATCCCGATCGGGATTCCAACCGGGATTCTATCGGGATTTTTAATCGGGATCCCGGCGGGATTTTTAGTCGGGATTCCCGGTTTATTGGGATCCCGATCTAGATTTCGATCGGGATTTTTTATCGGGATCCCGGCGGGATATTTGGTCGGGATTCCCGGTTTAACGGGATCCCGATCTAGATTTCGATCGGGATTCTGTCGGGACTTTTAATCGGGATCCCGGTGGGATTTTTGGTCGGGTTTCCCGGTTTATCGGGATCCGATCGGGATTTCGATCGGGATCCCGACCAAAAATCCCGCCGGGATCCCGATTGGGATCCCGCCGGGATCCCGGCGATTTTTTTAGGGGGGTACTAACTCTAAAAGAAGCCTATGCTACAGTATCTTGAAAAGGAGCCCATGGGCTTCTTTTTGAAATGGGCTTCTTTTCGAGGCTAATTTTGCAAACTAAAAAGGGGGCTTCAATTCGAGATTGGCTTCATCTCGAGAAAGCCCACTGGCTTCAAATCAAGGTTTTACGGTATGTTGATACACCGAGGTATGCACTTTATTGTATTGATCACATTACATTTTATAATTATCATTTAAAAAAAAAAAAAAAAAAAAATAATAATAATAATAATAATCGATCCTTTGTCATCAGGTTCTTCTAGCTCTTTTCTTCCTGTGAAGAATGTATTCAATTTTTGAATAAAACGTTACACAATATTATCATTTTATGGTAAGTTATAAGTTTTCTATCTCTGCGACGTTTAGTTTTTGTTGTATGCAATTTATGATTAGGACTACACCGTGGATATTGTTCCAACGATTTGAAATCTGAGGTTGATCCCTTTGCACTACAGAATCTGAACAATATCCATTTCTTGTTATTTAATGTTTTGGAAGCCATTTGATCTGCAGTTGATCAGACTATCATATACAAACAAGTATATACAGGCGACTTTTATCTACTCTGCACAGAGTATAATCTTGATAGTTGATTATTCCAATGTATCTGTTTACGCTAATTAGCTTTTTATAATGTTCATTTTCTCATTGTCTTAATTACAGTAAAATTTGGTTGTGTCACAACAAATCCATTAAAAAAATAAATATAACAAATATAAAATTTATTGAATAAAATGAGACATAAGAAAATAAATATATTAAATATAAAAACCAACATTAAAATTGCACATGAAAATACCAGGCATTATAAATATAATGTATGTTAACATAAATTTACATACTTGTTATTGCTCATGTCTTTGATATTTTTCAGAATGTATAGCTGTAATATATGCAATCACAGAACTGGATCTCTGAAAGAATATGCCAGGCACTATCGCCTTCATTCTAACATACCAAATATTCAGATACCTTGTGGAGACAGAACTTGCAAAAAAGTTTTCTCAAATTACAATTCTCTAAATAGCCATATAACCCGAGAGCATTCAAATCTACGTAAAATTACACGCACAATTCGAAGCCAACAGTCTCTTCCCGTTGGTGAATTTTCAGCCCAGTGTCCAATAACTGTTTGCAAATCATCATTTCTGAATTTCAAGTCACTATTAGTTCACTTGAAGATTCACCTGCGCGAAGGACTCGATGTTGACTGTCTTTACCACAATTGTGATAAAAGTTATAATGTGCTATCTTCTTTTACGAGCCATTTGAGTCGAGTTCACCAACCTGTTGGTGCTTCTGATGAGCAAGGTGATGATGAAAATGATGGAGGATTAGGAGAGGGTGGTACAGGCCTAACCTTGATGGTGGTGAACCTCTTCAAGAAGCTTACATAGACATTATTGATGGCGAAGAAATGCTTGACAATGACAATGAGGATTCATGTGATGATTTATAGGATGTAAAAAAACACTTTTTACTAACCATCTAGCCCTTTTCTATGTCAAACTTCAGGCTAAATACTTGGTACCTAGTTCCACTGTGCAAATAATTGCAGATGAAATTGGTGAAATAAATGAATTCGGACGGAGTCAGTTAAAGTTAAAACTTTTGCAGTCTTTAAACAGTGTAATTCCCGATAATGAAAAAGTTCATCAACTGATAGCCAATGTTTTGGAACAATAATTGTAATCTAATGTAGCACTATTCAATACTCAGAATGATCTAAACATGTATTTAAGCTGTAAAATAGTATCTCACTTTCTTGATATAAAGTCCATTTAATCTTATCTTTTCACATTATGTCATGTTTTGACCTTATAAAAGGAATAACAGAATTTGATTCATCATTCATACTTATTGTGTTTTATCCAATTCATTTTAAGATATTGTAGTAGAGTGGAATTTTCTCAACTGATTAACATTTAATCAGCTTTATCGTTGATAGTTGCTTTGACCATGTTCATTGTATGCATTTCAGTCTTTTTACAGTAATAACACCAATACTAATTTTTATTTTTTTTATACTAGCTACAGTACTTATTTTGATTTCATAAAATAATACTGATGGTATTTAATGGATATAACATGACATACAAGAAAATTACAGCAATATATGGTTTAGTTATTAAATGATTACAGATGTTTATGTATTGTCTCTTCATTGAACAATCCCTTTGTTTTTCTGAAATGTTTTTAAGACAAAATGTTTTGTCTTAGTACTCAACACCAATACAAATTTTCCATTTGTTTTATACTAGCTACTTATTTTGATTTCATAAAATAATACTGATGGTATTTAATGGTTATAACATGACATACAAGAAAATTACACCAATACTGTATATGTTTAAGTTATTAGGTGTCTACAGATGTTTATGTATTTTCTCTTCATTGAACAATACATTTGTGTTTCTGAAATGTTTTTAAGACGAAATGTTGTCTACAGTAGTCTAAAGAGTTCAATTCAAATAAAGTTCTGTTTTATTACACAATGCCTCTGTAATTTCTTTGATTTAAACAACTATTCTGTGAACAGTACTGTAATTTAAAAAATCTGTAATTTTACAGAAAAAGTCTGTGAATCAGAGATGCCAAAGAGTTCTGTATGCACAGATGTTTCAGTAAATTCCCACAGAAGTCCCTTTAAAATTACAGTTTATCTGTAAATTTACTGATGAATTTCACAGACATCTATGTAAATAATTAAAGAAACTGATGTAAAGTTACAGATCAAATACTATACACAAAAAAAAAATATGAGAAAATGACGTTTAAACTTAAGCCTGGTTTCCTGTCGACGTAAAGTTCAGAATTTCTTACGATTCATACGATTCTTACGACTGTTACGCGAAGTTGGACAAAAACAGCCACGTCTTGATCATGCTGGGCCGCAGACAAAATAAGCCGGTAACGATTTTTACAAGTTGAATTTTTCAAGCTCGAACGGCAAAGTCTCTCCTAACGTCGTCACATGAATGTTACGTCAAGTTGAATTTTTCTATGCGACTGCGATATTTTAACATTTCTCACTTCCTGTCTGGTTTCCTTATTAAGGTAACCTGGCGAAATTCGAGGACAATTTTCACCGGTCGATTTAAACAATAGTCCAGTGCTGTAGTACAGTATATGGGCCTACAAATCTTGATTTGCTAACTTTCTCATTATTGATTTTAGTGTTTCGTTCTCAAAATATCAATTAGGCCTATATTGTACTTTGTTTATTTTATTTCACCTATTTAATATTATGTTTTGAACTGACAGAAAAATCTTATCTCCAGATATACAGTTATACAGAAAACATTTTTAAATGTTAAAATTATAAAGTTCGGGTTGTTTAATATAAACAGGAATTAAAATAAGAATGAAAAACACTTGAGAAAAATTGTTTATTGAAAAGTGGCAATAGGGCTATATATATTATTTATTTATATTATAATTTTTTTAATTAATTAAATCTAATTGCAATCCTCATTCTTGACCACCACCAATTCTAGTTACAGCAACCAGATTCTTGAAGATTGTTACTTGTACCAAATTATGGATAGTTTTAGACAGTCACAACCGAACTATAGCTGACAAACTTGTGTCGAAGCTAGGCCTCTTGGATGAGGGAAAGACACGATACGAGGATGTGATACGACAGCATCCTTACTTTGGCTTCCACCCTGTTTGCTATCGTCGTTACATCGACACAAAATCGATAGTATTGGTAAGTTATCATTACCAAGTGTAGCGTAGTACCGTCAGTACCGTACCCAGACACATTGTACAATACTGTAGGCCTATATTATTAACAATTAAGGCAGATGTCAGTGCAATAAAATGAACATGGAATACTCCAATCTTTGTCAATGTACAAACTGTCAGAACAGAGACTTAACACACAGTGACACAGGATTACGTAAAGCATTATCTATTTTTATTTATTTTGTACAGGTATAATATAGAAAACTTAAAAAAAGTATAACATAACGGTGTAACCCATGAGAATGTAAGAACTTTAAAACCATGAGACTTAACACACAGTAACACAGGAGTACATAAAGCATTATCTATTTTTATGTATTTTGTACAGGTATATTATAGAAATTGGTCGTGCTACGTTAAATTTTCAACATCAGTTTAGTTTAAGTTTAATAAAATAAAACACTTATTGAGTATATTTATCTATTTTAAACAATCATTCTATTATTATGTTGACTAATAACAGTCGATATTAGGCTAAAAGAATTGGTACTTCTAGGCCTAAGTCATTACTACTCACAGCCCACTGTGCGAAGCATGCACCATCACGGCACCACGTTTTATAAACAAAAAATATCGTGGATTGGATACAAAGTTCACGCATGCCGCAGGGCCGTCGGAACGTTTTTCAAAGTGGGCCCACTTATAAGATGAATGGGAATATGAATCATGCAGATCTGGGAAAAAAAAAGAGTAGTTGCATACGTATTCTTTTTTTTAATTAAGGGAGCCTCGCAAAATAAAGCAACGCGTATACCCGTCTACAACGCGTGGTTGGGGATTATCAGAGAGTTGTTATTTAGAAGGAGTCACAACACATTTATCTACTTATCTACAGCCAATGAGCGAAGCGCGGTGTACTGAATCTTCAAAGAACCGTGACTAGCTGCCTGTCTTTTGTCAATCGGGTACTTTTCCGACGATCTTGCGCCCTCAGTTGTTACAATTTTGTCTTTGTAGAGAAAATAATTTCGTGACAAACGACCAGTAGAGCATGCGCAGAGTTTTTTTTATTCAATTTTCGCTGTTCAATAAATTTGCATCTCAAGAGAGTTTTACGAAGAATAATTTACAAAAAAACTGCATAAAAATTCGCCTTTTCTTTAAAAATTTACGACTATTTGAAGTGGAGCAAATACGTGTTTGTTCGTACACCGTCATTTCTAATTTTCATGGGTTTTTGGAAAGTTTTAAAGCTTACATTTTATATTTTCCGCATGTATCTCCATTTTATAACCAGGACAAATAGTTTATCCAACTTGTTAACTATCATTTTCTTTATGTCTCATTTCCTTACAGTTTCGTACAGAAACGTAATTTGAGTTCAAACTGAACATGTTTTCGTAGCAGGGAAATGATATAGGGGCATATTTGTTGTAGCGGTTTGACGCTAGCGTGTAGTTGATAACTGACACTCTCTAGTTGCCATGTTTTTTGGCAATGTTGGACGATTCCATTTCGCGATTTAGGGTTCGTTTTCCGACGTTTTTGTTCTACTTGTGTGCGTCGGTTTATCTCGTGATTTTGATGTACTGTAATTTATCGACAAGTCTCTTTTCTATGTTTTGTCATAAGTTTAATTCATTATTATGAATTAATTTTAATACTATATCCTGTCATTTGTTATTGAGCTATTCTGTAAAATTTAAAACCGAAATGTCGAATACCAAGACTCGAAACCCACTGAAATTTCCTATACACTTTTATACTGTATTATAATCAGGCCAAACTCATGTTTTTGCCATGAATATTGACGGGATAAACGCAATTTAATGCCAGTATATTGCTTTTTCTAGAACTATTCATAGTAACATTCCCACGCTCTGCTGCTATGGAAATACAGACTGAATCAAAGTGTACGTGTCATTGATCTTGCTGCCGGCCGAGTTATGCATACCTCAAACTCTTTGTACGCCGCCCAGTGTTATAACCAGGCCAAACTCATGTTGTTGACATGAGCATGGAGGAATAAATTCGTAGTGACAGATAAAAGCAATTTAATGCCAGTACCTGCTTCTTCTAGAACTATTTATAGGAACAGTCCCACGGTTCTGATGCTATGGAAATTGACTATTAAGGGTCATTGATCTTGCTGCGGGCCGAGTTATGCATAGCCGTACCCTTTGCACGGCGCCCAGTGATAACGACTCAACGTTACCATGGAAAAGCATAGAATAAACTAACAACATATCAGTCTCTGAATTTTTGAGTGCAATTAAATCTTGTATTTATTTATTTATTTTTTTTTATATTTATTTTTTTTTTCAAGTCTCATTTTCAATTATATTTTATATTTGTTATATATATATTTGAAAATGGATTTGGTAGGATACAAATAAATTAATTTCAATAAAGACAAGAAGGAAGTGACAAACAGAAATTAAAAATCAAACAAGAACAGCTCATTCAGTAGAACATAAATTAAAGTTAATTAGCGTAAACAGTTTATTACATGAACATAGGCCTAATTAGTGATCAAGATCTACTGTGTGTGTGTACAACAGTCACTTGTATATGCTTGTAAAATAATCTGATCTAAACACAATACTTTTATTTAGTGGTTTGTTTTTTTTTTGTTTTTTTTTTCATTTTGGAAGCTGAACAACAATAATTTAGGCCAAAAAATGGCTACCGTATCCGAAAACGCCATTTCTCTACACCCAGGCCCAATGTCTGTTTTCAAAATGACCTACAGAGAATGAATGAAAATAAATGGGGGAAAAACATGCCACCCTAGCTTAGCTACTACACTAAATTCCGATGTTCACTTTATTATGAATAGGACTACAAATAGTAGGCCTACTGTACACTTATTTTTGATATAGACCTACCATAATATATTTTAAATGCAAGGTTATTCCCAACTATTATATATCGGAAAAAATTATAGGCAATAAATCAATGGATAGAAAAAGCAATTCAAAGAATGAAATAACGATAATATGTTAAGAGATCGTAATTCAGTAACTATCCCATAGCCCATTGAGTACAGGACCAGAGTCAAGCGTCTAACTTTTACTTTGATAGAACATAGAGTATGTCAAAACCACAGGCACTAAACTTCCAGCCGGCGATGCAGTACACTGCAAGGAAGACGTTCCAAGTCCACTTGATACACCATGGCGTATCAACAATTGAAAACTACTTTTATACATTACCAGTGCATTTTATAAATGAAATTAAAATCCCTGTAGTAAAATAACATAGTTATTTGGTACATTCAAGCGTTTAAAAACGATTTAATGATTATACTTTTTAAATTTAATTATTTTGAAAAATTATTATAAAATTAATAACCCATATAGAATGGTAGAGTGCATTAATCAACGACGCAACAAAACATGTGCTTTGCTGTTTGAAAAGGGGTGAAGGCAATACATTGAACAGAAATCTAGAGAAAACACGGAAAAAAAATTTTACAGTATACAATACAATACCTTTTTTAAAGAGCCTGATAATCATATATAATAAATATATTCTTTTACATTAAACTTCGAGATTAATCAACATTGAAATAGAATAGAGTCTAGGTTTGTGCCGCATCAAAACATGTGTTTCATCGGTAGAAAGGGGTGAGAGCAGTGCATGTAACTGCTAGCTGGAGAAAATTGTTTTTGCTTTTTTTGAAACGATTCTCGTCACATACAATGGATATACTGTTCCACCAAAGTTCCAGATTAATCAATATTAAAATAGATAACATATAGGCCTAGAACAACTATTAATATGAAGTTCAATATTTTTTTTT